CATCGCAACAACGGACAGCCCATCATGATTAAACAACAAACAACACCGACCAAAAACACCGTGAGGGTCTTGGGAGTGCTCCTCGATAGGAATTTATTCTTTGAGCCGCACTTCTAACAAGTAGAGAAGGACTGCCGCAGTCGGTCCAATCTGATTAAGACCATATCCCGCCCCCACCGATCCAACAATCGTGAAATCCGCTTCCGCGTAGCTCGAGCCATCATTGACAGCCGCCTACTGTACGGTATAGACATTACATGCCTTGCCGCCGAGAAACCCGTCCAGATTCTGAAACTGGTGTACAACGGCTACGGTCGAACAGTCTCCGGTCTCCTGCCCTCTACCCCGGCCGACGCTGCATGCGTTGAAGCCGGTATCCTACCTTTTCGGCTCGTTTTCACCGCAGCTACGGCTACCAAAGCCGCTGCCTTTCTCGCTAAAACATCGGGAAACGACAGGATCATTCTCCTCGACGAGGCGCACCGACTCCTCCGCACGGCCGCCGACGTAGATCGCCCACTGGGTCCACTGGCACGGAGACAAAAGTTGGCAATCGCAAAAGATCAAAATTGACAGCCGAATCAAGGACCGCTTCAGGGCAGGAGACAACTCGCTGGCTTTACGCCGGACAGTTGTCGAAACTCTCGGGGTGCACTACCAAGGTTATGAAATTAGGTACACCGACGACTCTCTCTCCAGGAGCGGAATGGGAATGGGGGTCTCCAGAGATGGTCTACTTTTGAGCAGATCGCTTCCGACCCAATACTCGGTGTTCTCAGCTGAGGCAGCGGCCATTCTCCAAGCGGTTAAGTTACCGGCCAACCGGCCGATATTAGTCGTAACTGACTCAAACAGCGTGATATTGGCCCTAACAACAGAAACACCGAAGCATCCGTGGATCCAAGGGACGGTAAAGCATGCGCCGCCCAACACTGTATTCATGTGGGTACTCGGTTACTGTGGGATCCAAGGGAACGTAACAGCCGACCATCTCGCCAGCTCAGGCCACACTGGACCCAGGTCCACCGGCAATGTACCGCTCCAAGATGTCAAAAAGTGGATCAAGCGGACGGTTCGGAGAGCCTGGGACACCGAGTGGAGGAACAACAGAACACACCACCTTCGGAAGATCAAGGCGACCACCGGAGCTTGGAAAGATCGACCAAACCTAAGAGAACAACGGGTGGTGTCAAGGCTGCACACCGGGCACAGCAGAGTCTCCCACAACTTCGGAAGAACACCGTTCCGGAGGACCTGCGAAACCTGCAGAGTGCCAGCCACCGTGGAGCACATCCTCGTGAACTGCGCGGAGCTGGAGGACCTTCGGACTACCTTCGGCTTGGAGTCAATCAGCATTCGGAACCTGTTGGGTGACGAGTCCCCGGCAGTACCCGCCCTCATCAACTTCCTAAAGGAGGCGAACCTTTACAACAATATCTGAGTGTTCCTTGTTTGTATTTCCAGTTTGTTGGCCCTGTTGGCAGTTTTCTACACCTTTTCATTCTAGCAAGATAATTGTACCACAGCCAAGATTGGGAATCTCCTTCTGAGAACCCATTTTTTTCCTCTTCTCTTTATTTTTTTTACTATTTTAAGAGATGAACTAAAAATCTCTATAATAATGGCAAAAAAAAAAAATACCAAAACAATACCACAAATGTATTCTTTTGGTATCCAAATTTCATTTTTTGTTATTTGCGAAGTATTTTTAATGTAATTTTTTTGATATATTCTTTGGTATTTTACCTCTCGGGAAGTATTTCCGAAGTTCAGAGAAGTTTTGCCGAAGTTCAGGAATGTTTTTCCGAACCTTTCACTGTTCAGGGAAGACCTGCCGAAGTTCAGGGAGTTATCTAATTATTAAAAAAAAAACCAACATGTATCAGAACACCTTCATCAAATACTTGTGAAACAACTTGTGAAAATTGAGGATCAATTTGGTTTAAAAAAAAAATGTTTTATTTAACAATGGCAAGAGTATCCTCGAATTAACTTACGCTTACACAAATCACATTGTTCTTCCACCTAGAGACTGCTTACGTACACATACATGCAAAAGCCATTTGATTGCTTAGGAAAACAAAATCTAATGCTTGTGGTTGCGTCACAAAAAAATGGTTTGTATTGAAATAATGCATTTTACAGGTACATTGTCTTCGGAGGAAATATTCCTAACAATATTTTAAAACGATCTACGGAAGTAAAATACGACCTTTCTTACTAAATAATTGTGTAGTTGATGAGAAAAGTTAGCGACCACTATGATTATGGTCCTAAGTTTGAACATAGAAAATGGATTTCAGAAAATTTAAACAATAAATCAATCTAGAGATAGAAATTTTATATCTTTAATTTTGCACGGAAGAGTTTTTTTCGATTTAGCGTTGCGTTATTTTGTAAACAATCGATGAAGTAAGTCATTCTGAACCGATCCACTTTCACCTTAAGAGAGACTAGTCCTGTCTGAGAGATAATTTTGGGTGATATTCACGTGGAAGATTGGAAAACCGTATCTTTGTAATTTGTTCACGAGTCCATCATGCCAGTCATTATCAAACGCTTTTGCAATGTCTAACAATGCCATGGCAGATGTCTTAGATACAGACTTGCTCCGTCTAAGAATAATGTTTGCTAGAGTCAGCTTGTGAGTAGTCGACCGACCTTGTCGAAAACCAAACTGCTCCTGGAGTGAGATATTATTTTCGTCGGCAGATGTTAGAAGACGCCGGTAAACTGCTTTTTCAAGGAGCTGTGCTAACCTGAGAGAAGGCTGATAGGTCTACAGCTGGAAGGAGAGGAAGGATACCTCCCAGGTTTCCGGATGGGTATGACTTTAACTAACCTTCAGTACGAGGGGAAATAGCCAAGCCTAAGGCACTTATTGAAAATCAGAGCCATCTAATACTCATATGTTTGAGCTCTAAATTCAAGATGTTATTGAAAACTTCGGCCTTCATGTTTTTGTAAGATTTGATATAGGCTGACAGTTCGTCAGCTGAAATAAATAAATAAATAGTTGTTGGGAATCAAATGGAAGTTGGCTGCATTTTCAGCAACATCAGCCTCATGTGGACTAATCATGTTTTGTCTGAGATTTTGAGTGCTGACGAAGTGTTGATTAATCACAGTAGCCTTCTCAACAGAATATATCAGATGAACCACTGAATCATCGGAACGATTGCACAATCTGGAAGATAGCAGATCTTATTGACAAAATCGCTATTTCGGAGATTCACCATCCCAGCCTGAATGATCTTTGTTAATCGATTACAATTGGTCTTCATGTTTGGTAGACCGTAACGCTGATACTGCCTACGAATGGCATTAAGGAGTCTAATGAGGTTTTTAGTAGGGCTGTCAATGTTCAGAGTGCTACTCACCTGTCCTGTGATACAGGCACGTGTCGTTCTTTGGTCGAGGATATTGCCTCCTCGATGGATTTCAGACACCGGTCAACGTCTTCGTACGTCTCCGATTGGACATCGTAGTCGATGATTCTGTCGATGCAGTGTTGATATTTGTCCCAGTTCACACGATGGTAGTGGCATCGGAAGGTTCGAATCGTTTTACAAAGTAACCAACTTTGACAATCACCGAGCGGTAGGCAACCGGTTGCGAGATGTGGGCCATGTTGCTGATGTAGATGTCGATGGAGATGCTTCACGCTAACTCAATTTTACACAACTTGAGTGTTTCATTACTTGATTCAACTCTCATTTGTTACGCCTACAAATAACTGTTTGACATTTTTAATCCACACTAAACTATCTACCACATGAACAGGACCTGAGGTTCGTCTGACTGACGTTTGTTACAAAACAGGCAGACCCACTCTTGATACCCGATCCAGGTTGGAACTGACTTAAAACCCAATTCGGTATAAGGAATGGTTTAATATCTATCAGAGATATGGAAGCTACAAACTTACCACCCCAAGAACACATGCAAGGTTGCATCTTATTTTTGTATAGGAGGATACTTTTTGCCATTAATAACATTGATAGGTTATTCTGAACCTTAGCGACACATGTTATATGACAAATTTTTAGTAACATTTGGCTCCACCTCTTGCACTTTTACAGTTGTATAAATGTATGAAATGAAGTAATTTAAAATAATATTGATTACATATATTAATCATTAAACAGTATTTTCAACTTCTTTATGACAAGCTGTGGTTCTTGGGGGACTGATTGGGGTGATTTAGAACAGAAGGTGTTGCGTACCATATACGATAGAGCGCAGCTGGAAGACGGGAACGTAAAGTGTGAATGTCGGATGACAGCCCAGTGAAAATAGATTTGCGATAACGAACCGACTGGAACAAGACGAGGAGGCACGCAGCAGGCAAGCTGGATGGCGATTTGCGGAGCCTTCGCAGACTGCAAGGCTGGCAACGTAAGTCATGGATCGAGTGGAATGCAGACGATTTCTGTGTACAGCAAAGAACACCCAGGCCAGGTATGGTATGTAAGGTATGTCAACCTATACATGAATTTGTAAATGGTGTGGCAAGCACAATTAACTATATTCTCATGCCCCGAGAAGTCTAGAACATTTTCAACCCGAAAGATGATCTAGACTGGACCGGTAATCGAGCCTATCGCCTCCGGCTTGGTAATACCGTGCCTTAACTGACTACACTATTTGAGGCCCCTAACTCTTCATCCTTCCATTGGACGCTAAAGCCATCAAAAACTAATAAATGTGCACATTTTACGCGAAACAATGCAGCCATTGAATGATAGCTATTGAATAGGAATTATATCAGCTCAATTTCTATTATCTGAGTTTACCAAGTCTAGAGATATGAAGCCTATCGCTTTGAGCTACTTAAAGCCACTGGTACTTTTCTGCTTCCCATAGCAAAAAGCATCATTGAATTCTTTTATTGATTCCGTTACTTATTTTCCCAGCCAATCGTTATAGGATAAGATACAAAAAATGTGAATAGTCATGTCGAATCAACTAGAAACTTCAGTATTACCAGTAGCCTTGCCACCGCGTCACGCGCCAAATCATCTAAGCCAGAAAAATGTGGATTTTTCCTTCGCTGCTGGGATTTTCAATCCTATTGGCAGCGCAAGCATCTGCCCCGGTAAAACTTCCCACGCTTATAGAAAGGGCATCAAGCAACGATGAAACCTATCGGCTACGCCGGGTTTCCGAACCACTGTCCTACAATTTGTATCTGGACATAAGTGATGAAAATTTCTATTCCTACCGAGGATCGGTCGACATCGAGATGCGCTATCTAGATACGACGAATGCCTTCTACCTCAGCACTACTGGACTAGTAATCGATCGTAACAGTATCAAGGTGACGAAACCGAACGGTGACGATCTACCGTTGGCCAGTCTGGTTGCAATGGAGAGACAGGAACTGATATATTTGGGCTTTGCTGAGCGGCTGGAGCAGAATGCAATTTACAAGGTGTATATTGAATTCTCCAACAGCATTGGAACTGATCTGAAGGGGCTATACAGGAGTAGCTACACGGTTGGAAATGAAACAAGGTTAGTCCAGTACTGGTAGGGTAGAGTTGTGTTCGACGAAGAAATTTTCACTGTCAAAAAGGAATTAGATGGAAGATTGATCAGTAGGGTGGGCCAATAGACTGATGCAAAATTTGAAATTTTCGCTCCACAGTGCTCAAACGGTTTCAAATTGGGTCCTGATTAGCCTCATAAAATTCAAACAAATTTGGTATGAAACTGACTTGGCGCAAAGCATTTGAAGTTTATATGGAAATTACTATGGGATAACCAAGCTTTATGTTCATTGTCCTTTTCCATAATAGTTCTATAGTAATTTTTATGTGAAATTTTCTCAGCTACAACTTTGCATAAAATCGTTTTTCGCATAGCCAAACATCAAATCGAATAGTTATTAATTGATAAAGAGATTGATAAATTATGGCATAATCAAGCAGCTGATTTGTGGGCAACACTGTATTCTGCAGTCTGACATCCCGAGCAAAGGATTATACCAATTTGATAAAAAGTTCTGATACCCGGTTATCAAGATTTAATAACTGAACATAGCCAACATAACGCAAATTATAACAAAAAAAAATTCCATTGATATTAACAAAATAGCTGATTTAGTTATTATTGAAAACATCTTCATCACAAATCCTGTGATTCATGCAAATTTTTCCAACAAATTTCAAATTATTTTATCGATTTGGTATTAAAGGCTTACGTTGATAACTGAAACATGATTGGCATTGTTTTTTTTTCTTACCATGCGGATAATATTTGAAGCTTTAAAGCAACCTTGCATCATTTCATATAATTTCATGATAACAACTGATAACAAAATGAGTCGAGGCTAATAACAAAATTAGTTATGCGATAACAACTGAAAACAAAATGATATCTGGAATAAAAATATTATTAATCTTCTACTTTAGGCCAAGTGATCCTTGCATACGTTTTTTTACACGATTAGCACCGCTGAATCGCAATTTACACGGTGCGTTTTTAACGATTTCTCGATAACCTATTGTCTTGATTCGAATCATATTATTGCTTTACTAAAAAAAAAAATCCAAGGGGTATTCAACTCTGCACATCCCAATCTGTGCCGAGTACTTTATCTGTGCCGAATGTTAGGTCAAGCGTTTTGCTGAACGTGCCGAAGTGTGGCAATCAAGTTATCAGTCTCAGTATCCCATGAGTTTGGCAACCCTGAACTTATGACTTTTGAGATTGTGTATTTATATTTTCAAGTCAAGGACGGAATAAAGTCGTGATAATCCGGGACGGGACTTGACAATCCAGCTTCTCATTCTTCTTAATGTTTTTGATGAATGCCCGTCGAAAATTAGTGCATGGTGTTTGACGGAGTTGACCAATGATGCCAGGATTGAAAAATGATTTTTCTATTTTAATTTTAATTTGATTCGGACTTTCTACCGCAGCTTAACACCTTGTACATCATTTTTGTTTAACACAATAAAAACAACCATAAACAAACAAGAATATCCATCTCTTAAAGCACGCCCTGGACCCTATTTTCCAACTTTCCTTTCGCAAATATAAACAATTAACAACGCCATTGACGTCAACAATGATTCCGGCATCACTGCCAGGCAGATGGATATGATCCCTATGTTCTTTTTATCAGACGATTGCTACTGTCAAATCGACCAATCAGCAACTGGCTCGGATTTGACAGCAAATTGGCTCGAAATCGCTACCCGATTGTCAAGTCCCGTCCCAGGTGATAATATTCAATGAGCTGGTTGCCAGTAATCCAGTGGCACTCGAAGACTAGCCCCTCCGTTAGAAGGAGAAGGGTGACTCATGGCAGAAGCTGTCCATCCAGGAGAAGACAGTTCTCTACCGTGCGTCATTCTGGCAGACGTTTGCCAAAACCAAGAACCCAACTGGCTGTGGAAGATGAATCTTGTGTGCAATATCATCATGCTACTCGGACAATGCTACATTCTGAAAAATAGGAAGTACTCAACCTTAAATGACCACCGGTGGTAGTAGTAGCAGCAATAGACCTGCAGTAGCTTCCCAGTGTCAGCAGTCGTGGTTAGGTACTAAATTCGTCAGAGAAATAATAACAAATAGTTTTCAAACACGTTTTCTCTTACACGATTCAAGCATAAGTTTCCACGGGAAATTATTAGTTTTTCTTTATGGACCGATTTGCCCCAAAAAGCATCTGTTTTACTTGGAAAATTTGGAAACTATCCTCCTTCTAGTAGTTCTCACTTCGAAATGTAGGTGGCGAAAGCTTGGAAAAGTTTCACTGCAAGACGCCAATCGTTTTCTTCGTCATTTGCTTTCGAGCAACGGACGGATAAGCGTCGGACACGACGCCCGAGTGGAACAGCACGTCTCGCACCAATACGAAGACGACGACGACGACAAAAACACCCACATCGACCGGAGGAAAGGCCGGCATTGACTATTGCACTGGTGTAGCCACCATTTGAAAAACAACCGGTTATTTTCAGGGCCACCAATTCAAAAACGGAAAGAGTTCGGAAATGATCAACATATTTGTTCCGTCCACTAGCATTTTTTTTTTTTTTTTTTTTTTATGTAAAAGTGAAGTTTTATTTGTCAGTTTAGCATACAAAGTTTTTTTGTTTTACCGTCAATTTGCTACATCAAGATGAAAGTTCAAATCAGCTAAATCAATTCTACCGTTACAATCGTTAACGAAGCAGATATATGTAATAAACATATTCAGAATTGCCACTCTATGTCTGCCGTTTATTCCTAATAGGGCAGGTCTTAACAAATCTTCGAACTCGAGTCGCCTCCATCCACCCAAGATGACAGCTATTCTCTGCTGAAGAACCGTCCAAGCCGGGCCGGCGCGAGTACAAGCGCAAAATTTGTGGGAGAGAGTTTCTGCTGTACGGTTGCCACAATGCGTACAGTTTTCGTCATCTACTCGCCGCTTCACGAATAGCAGTTTGCGGTGCTCTATCTTCTCGTTCACCAACAAGTAAAGCTTCGTCCTCTGCGCTGAAGTAAGTTGCCTCGATGCAATGTTTCGCCATATGCGTGACCAGCCACTTGCTGGACTGTTACGTTCCACCCTTGGTAGCTCAGTTTGCTGGACGAAGTACTGGTGAATTTGATCGGTGGAGGGGTTCTGTTGGATTTGGTGGGGAATTTGGGATAAGTTTGATAGGATTTGTCTAAGGTCGGGAAGATCTATTGAGATGGCTGGGCGGGGATTATCGTGGAAAAGAAGGGATCTATAAAAAGGAAGTGATTCGATCTCTTGTAGGTGTCGGTTGATTGCGAGTGACTTACATTTCAGAGCTGGTAATTGCAGCTTCAGGCCTCCATTCTCTCTGCTGCGTGCCAGCTGCATCATTGGGACACGGGCGACAGTCCCTCTCCAGAGGAACGTACCCATTGCTGATGTGATTTTTGCCGTATGCACTCCCAACGGCGGTAGTATGGACGCGAGGTACCATATCCTGGACGTTCCGAACGTGTTGAGCATGATGACCCTTTGGTGCAGCTTCAGCGTGCGCAGAGAATGCAGCCACATTTGTTGCGCGAACTTCCCCACTAGCGCATTCCAGTTCATCGTTGTCATCAGTCGTATTGAATTTGCGAAAACAACACCCAGAATTTTAACTACATTGACTGTTTGTAGCCACTGAGTGTTGATTCTGTTGCCTTCGCAAAGGCCAACATCGGCGGCAACAGTTTTCCGCAAATTTAATTTTGCGCCAGCAGCTCTCTCGAAACGAGTGAACAGCCTATTTATCTCATCGATTTGCCTGGTCGATGTGACGATCACACTGATGTCGTCCGCATACGCCACTAGCAGATCATTCCCGCACACTCTTTCGAGTCTGCACACTAGTGGATGCAGGTAAAGAACGAAGAGATGCATTGATAGCGGATCCCCTTGCCGTACAGAGCGTTGAATTTCGAACGGACGAGAAAGGTGCCCATTGATCAACAGCCGAGAGGTGGACCGGCTGGCGATTCGCGAGAGTAGAGCGATGAGATCCTGGTTGAAGCCAAGCGAGCGCATGGTTTCGAATAGAAAAGAGTGCCGGACCCGATCGAAAGCGTAATCGAGATCAAAGCTGATTAACTTCCCGGCACGGCGGTGGTGGCGGAGATGTGCTATCCGGTCCTTGAGAGCAAGAGTGGCTTGAAATATGTTGTGCTCTGAGTTGGAGCATTTCTGCCCGTCGCTCAAGACGTGGTGCTCTCTCATCACTTGCTCGAGTCTGGTTTTGAGAATGCGGGAGAAGAGCTTGCCCAGTAAGAATTGTCGGTCCGATGCGACTCCGATGAGAAACCGATGCATCGGACTATCGGCCTTATGTAAGCCCGATAAAACAGTCCGATTTGACCCCTTGTATCGTGCTAATTTGCAACCGAAACATCGGAATTGTAGACCTCGAGAGCGTGCTCCCGCTCGGTTTGTAGCACTGATGTGACTCCGATGTGGAACAAAATTTTGCATGGCGCATCGGGCTCTCATCGGGGTGTCGATTCTTGCTTTTGAGCGTATTCCTATCAGAATGACACTCCGACGTGAAGCCGATGCGGGGCAAAATTTTGTTCCTGGCATCGTGCTCGCATCGGGGTGAAGATTTTTATTAAATTAGGATAGGGTAGAGAAAATCTACGGCATAAACGCCCATTTCCGTCATATCGAGCGGAAACATAAAATAAATCAATAAATTCGCCGAATCAATCGGCTCGATCGGCTCCTTGGTACGACAGTTTACTTCAAAAGTTACAAAAAAATTTATAATTATGAGAACGCATCAAATGAATGTTTACATTCATTCTTCTCAAAAACAAATCAAGAGCGCCGAGCGATACCATTTCTTCAGTCTGCACTCGTGTGTCGAATGGATTTCAATGGCATTTTAAAGATTTTAATGTGTTCTGCCAGAATTGAAACCGTTTGACGGAATGGGCGTCTAATAGTGGTATAAGGATTTTATCATTATCACAACAATTTGTTACTCATTTGGTAATCAACCGGTGCGATTAGTAAATCC